TGGCCGTACAGCAGCAGTTTGAATAATATATTTTCCAGGTCATTTATTATGAATATTTTTCAGTCTCTTCTTCCCCAGTGTGATCAGTTTACTTTCAAATGCATGGAATATTTAAATATTTAGAGTGGCTGAAGAGAAATCTGCCAGAATGTAGGGTGGGATTTATCTGCTGTTAGTTGCAGTAGTTGTTCCAGAAAAGAATGGATGAAAATCTTGTTGGCAATTCATATGTAATACATTAGGGAAATTTCATCAGAAATAAGATTTAAGGAATAATTATTCCCCTTATAGTTGCCAGCTTCAGTCATTTATTGATATATTTGCCAACAGTAACTCCAGTTTTGGAGAAGGAAGCGGCAATACCTTATTAAATTGTATTTTAAAAACTTATCTCATTCTTGTTGCATCATTTTTGGCTATTTTTGTAAAGCTCCTACATCATGAGTGGGACTCAGGGCCTTTCAGATGTTACTGAATTATATCTCCCAGCATCTCTTGTGTTTTGCTCTGCTGGCTGGGGTTGATGGGAGCTGTGATTTAGTAGCATTTGAAAGGGTACGGGCTCTTCATGTCAGTGCTTCATACTGTATAAGAAAATGTTATTTGCAAAGAATTTATAACCCAAAAAAAGACTTTCGTTAGGACTTTCCTAACTTAAGATATATTGGCCTTCTTGATCTTGTAGGGATCATGTGGAGATCCTTGTTTTAGTTTTATGGATTATGCAGGGTTGTTTCCCCCCCCCCCAGGCTTATTAATTATGGCTATAAATGAAACCAACCTTGGAAAAATCCATGTTCTGTCTGCTTAAATTTCTTCTCTCTCTTGTTGGGTTTGCCTCTGGTTTATGTCAAACTAAACACTACATGGTTAATTAGAAACTATATTATGGGGTATTTATACATTTAATATCAGGCTTTTTGTATGGACAAAAAAATTATCCTAGAGGGGCATGTTCCATAGGCATTGTGGCTAGGACAAAAAGGTTAAATTGCCCTGTGATTCCAGTGAAAACCTGAAATTACTTGAGCACCTTGTGCTTGCTGTTAAATTTAAAAATATAGTTCCTGATAAACTGTTTAGTATTACAGGTAGTCTTTGCTATCTGACTCCAATAGGGCCTGGAATTTAGGTCGCTAAGTGATTTGGTCATTAAGCGAATCGGAGCTGATTTTACTACCTTTTTTACAACTGTCATTAAGCAAATCACTGTGGTCATTAAGAAAATCACATGGCCATTAAGTGAATCCAGCTTCCCCAATGGACATTTTTTGCCAGACTTCGCTTAACCATGTGATTCGCTTAATGACCATGTGATTTACTTACTGACCATCGTAAAAAAGTTGCAAATTGCGATCACGTGACTGTGGGGGTTGTAAAGCACTTTTCACAAGGCTGTCATAACTCTGGACCAGTCGTTAAATGAACGGTTGTTAAGTGAGGATTACCTGTATGTCTAATTTGAACTTGAGCTGTACATAAAGCACCAACTGCATGTACACTTGATAAATTAAAAGCAGGATTTTCAAATAGAGGTTTGAAATAGGTTTGCAAACCTTGATTGACAGGAAGCCAGCTTGAATTCATTATACTTAATGCTAGGGCAGATGTAATGTAAACACTGATTCCATGAAAGGAAACAGAAAGAGAGCAAGGGAAGGAGGGAGTGTGTATCCGATATGCTACTTTATTATTTGTATATTTTATATCTGTGGGTGATAATTAAAATATTTATGTTTTAGCCTTCCTTAATTAATGGCTCAATGTACTGTACTTGGGAGGCACTAACAACTATGTAGCTTTAACTAGCACTAACAGTGGAGGAGAAAGAAAATTAATGGATGAGGCTGCCATGGGCGTGCTGCACAGTGTTCCAGTTGCCAGTCTCTTCCATCCTCTTGGACTGAATAGGAAACCTGCAGTTGCTGCCACTTTTCCTGTTTATTGCTGGTCTAAGAAGGAGTGGCATCCCTTTAAAAATGACTCAAAAGTATTAAGATGGTGAAAAATCTTCATCGTAGGAGACTGTTTTAATAAAAACTGACCAGGTGATTAAGGCAAAGTCAAAGACCTATATTTCCTTTGTGGAATTAATAATGCCTTAGTGGAGTTAATCGCAAGTTTCTATTGCAATTGCCAAAGTCCAAGATGCTCACCGTGGAGAAGTCTCAGCGTTTTTCCTGGTCCAGCATTTCACACAACATATTTTTGGATTGCTCTGCTCTTTTAATTTCCCAACTGATCCTGATCTTGCATCATTCTGATGCATTATAAGGAACTATAACAATATTCTTGCATGCTTTCAAAGACCACTTGCAACCTTTAACCCAGACACAGTTGTACATTTTACGCCTAGAGAGAGATTGGGAAATTTTCACAGTCAGATGTTGTTCCAAAATGTTTCTAATAGTACTTTCTGAATGTATTGCCTACACTGCTAAGCAGATTTGGTCCTTGGGGATCTAGTGGGATCTAGCACAGACACTGCTGTCTCAGATCCATAATGTTCCTGGTGGTTTAATTTGATTCAGTGTCAGGGTTTAAATCTAGTATTTATGGCAATGCTATTTACTCAACTGGTCCTTCATCCATCTCTTATTTCTCCTCTCCATTGTGACGTTAGCACTTTACTGAATAAATTGTATGTACGTATAAGGCAGAATTAATTCTGATGAACATGGACTAGTGAGTAGTAGAAATGCCTGATTTTTAAAGCAAGTATATTCTCTGTGAAAGAGCACTTCACATTTTGGGAAGGCTGTTAAGATTATCAGTCTCTAAATAATATACATATAAAACTTATATTTATTTGTATTTGGAAGGAATCCGTGATAATTGATTGTTGTGTTCAATTGAAAATAACAATACATGGCAAATGGAGGTGGAATACAGTAACATATTGCAATATATGCCCATTTTTAATTTGTATTATTCAAATATAAGAGACAAAAGGGTTAATGTTAGAAGAAATTGTAACATCTGTATTGGTTATCTTCCATCCTTCTCAGTTTTAAAATTAAATCTTGAGGAGTGGTTATGTATGTCTGTTTTTATTTCTATTTCTTAGGGTCTGCCTGGACCTGAGGGATCATCAGGTTTACCTGGAGGGCCTGGGCCTAAGGTACGTTCTTTGCCTTGACTGGTTTAAAAAAAAAAAAAAAACCAGCCTTGAGAAATGTTTACCCAAATTATAAGTAAACAAGGGAAAAATCAAATGTATAAAAATTCTTCTGAACTCTAACATGGTGAACTCAATATTTGGGTACACGGGAAGGTCAAGAAAATATGTGCAGGAGGTACAAGATCTTTTAAGATTGTTTCATTCTAACCGAAAGTTGAAACAAAAGTCCTTTCTTCAGATTGGAAGGGAGAGCAAGCGCTTGCACATCTGAGTAGATGAAGCCTACGTGCTTCTTGCAGAAGTCTTGGAACATAAAAGTCTGTGCATAGAGGCTTCTATGTCCATGTTCAGTGCGTGGGATCTCATAACTCCCAAGAGTCCCTGTAGTCTTTCAATGCATCTTCTCCATGTACTTAAGAAATTTAAACAGCTGAAGTTGTAAACTGAATTGCAACCATTCCCCTTTCATTATCTAACATGTTCCTATATTCTCTTGTATACACCAGCACACTCACTCACTCAGATACAGCCACAATTCACGATACTACTCTAAATTACTCTGTATTCGTTATGATTGGGGAACTTCAGAAAAGGAGTAGCTCTAGAGAGGAAGAGTTGCACTACAGTGATATATCATGGATTATTCATTTAATTTGTCTGCAACAATTTGTTTCAGTTACTCCATTAACTAGTTAAAGTGTCTATTCACAGGGCAGCAAGGGTGAGCAAGGACTACAAGGGAAATCAGGAATTCCAGGTATCAAGGTAAATTTGCCTAAGTTTCAGTATGTCATGAGACAAGGAATTGTATTCTTTGGTTAACATAATAACTATGCTTGCTTTGTATTTACTGTACATTCCTCTCTTCCTGAAATGAACTTTGTGATTACTTAAAAACTAAGCTTCTCCTCTAATTAAAGGATAAACCTGCCTAGATTATTACTCCTTATTAACATAAAAAAATATGAACTATGCTTATGGATGCAGTTCTGTTTGACAGAAGTTCCAGGGATGTATAAGATCCTATGTGTGAGATTTGCCCCGTTCGACAGAGAAACTCTCGTGACACGTGTGGTTCACAAAGA